AAAATTATTTTGTTGGAAATGTACAATCTCTTTGGTGAGTGTTAAACTTGGATGAAAACTACTGAAAATAGCAAATGAAGATGGTTTTATTAGATAGCCAACAAAAAGGTTTTATTTTTTGGAGTTAATATCTTTTAATCTGTCAAGCATTCATTAAATTCCATGGTCTGTTGAACAAAGTTTTGAAAATTTTATGGTTTGAAGTAGTCTAGTAATTAGACTGATCAATTTTATCTTTAATGATATAATAAAATACTTAATTAACGTTTGTTTTGATGGATAAATTTTCTTCCTGGAATCTGTAACAATTATTGCATGTCTTTTCACAAGTGGAATTTATAAAAAAAATTGTCAGTTTAATTATTTCTTTATTTGTAAAGATTGGGACTGTTAGATTTCAGTCATGTTCATTTCCTCGTTAACACAGCACAGAGATAACAAGGGACTATTTAGTCCTGGTTGTCTCTCTGACCATGTGATACAGAAAAATGTCGTGAATCATTCAAGAAATCTCTTGAATCCATACAAATCTAATCAGCATGTGTGTAAAATTAAAGGTTGTTAATAATATTATCTAGATTTTTATTCGCATCCTGTCTGAACATGTGGGCTGAGTAGTTGCCAATTAAAGACCCTGATTGTAACCCATACAGATAATTTTTTTTTTCAGTTTCAATAGGTGGAAGCTAGCTTATTCCTTATATAAAGCCATTCTGTCCCACTCTTAAAAGCTTACCATTATTAAACAACATATAATCTGAAATTTTAAAATAATTCCTATTATCACTGCTCTCTAACCACTTTGAGTAATTTCTATTATACCTTAGTCTTCCTTTTCAGCTTTAGCCTTACCTTGAATGTGCTATACTTATTTTTAATCAGATACACTTTATGCTCAAAATCTAATCTATTCTTAGCCCTACCTGTCCTATGTAAATTGCTATCTAACCTGCTTAAATAAAGCCCAACTCTTGTGTATAATTAACCTTTACCCTAGAAATTATCCCAACCAACTCATCTGTTGCTCTGAGCATATCATTGATAATCTTTCATTTGATACCTTCAGAGTAATTCCTTACCATTTCTAGTCTGAGAGCAAAAAAAAAAAAACACACACACCTGTTTCCATCCCTAAAACTCAGAAGGAGTTATTTGTATTTTATAAGCAACCATTCCATTTTAAATAATGCACTAGAAAAAGAGAGATATTGTTGGTAGCGGCAAGTAGTTGTCGAGTTCTGTAATGTCTTTCACCTTAGCATCTGGCAAGTAAGCTTTTGTTCCAGACTTTAAATGCTTTATTACAAGTAGCTTTATTGGTATGCTTAATGAGATAGTCTGTGTAAACCTAAAGCCATACGTTTTTTTTTTCTATTTTGTGTTATTTTAAACACAGCACTTCCTCACCTTCCCCAAAGCTCTCTACCCTATGACTACTTCCTGTCTTGCTTCCTTAACTTCTACTTCTAATCTATTGTTTTCCTCTCTAATAGATCAGTCTTCCCTAAAGACATCTTTAACTTATCTACCATTAACTACATTCTGCAAGTAAAGTTTACTGTATCTCTCCAAGCCTCCTGAGAATTAATAACTTACAATTCTCAAATGTGGCCCAATCCTGGTGTGATAACCCAAATGTTTTTTGCTTCCTTGAGATTTGAACTCAGGACCTCTCTCATAGTAGTCAGATGTTCTACCAGCTAAGCTGTAGGGTTAACCCACTAACACTTTCCTGTAATCTTTTTTAACAACTGCATTCTTCCACTCTCACCAACAAAGCCTGTCCTTGGGGTCATTGGACTACAACTTGTTGGGTGCCACTTTTTCTGTGGAAAACAAGTACTGTAAGGGAAAGTTTAAAAGGAGTTCAAGAATGCATGAAACCACTTGGAAGTGAATGGATGGGCTCTCGATAGCCAATGGGAGGGGGATTTGGTTAGTAGATGAGGAGAGACATGGAATTTTAGACCCATCCAACATTAAGAGTTATCAAAAGTTTAGGATTGGAGTAAGGTTCATGAGGGATGTTAAAGGAAGGCTCATTTCTGATTTGTTTCGGGCTGCTGTATTTAGATTAATTGTTGAGTTGGGTAAATAAATGGTAATGGTTATCATATTTTAAATTATAATTTTGATGGGAATAACCTCAACAGTATTATGGAAGAAAAAGATCCTGGTGTTCTGGTTGATCAGTCTCTTAAGCCATTCAAACAATGTGCTGTTGTTAGTAGTAGGACAAATAGTATTTTAGGTTGCATCTATGGAAATACTGAATACAAGTCTAAAGATATTATAGGTCACATATAGAGTATTGTCTTCAGTCTCTTGTGCTCTTTACATTAAGGAAGGCATTGAATTGTTTAGTATAACCTTATTTCCAAAATAAACAACTGTTCTATGGAATTTTTGGGTGAACAACAACTTTCCCACTTATGCTAACCCAAGTTGGTCCTGTAAATAATGAAATTTTTACTTCCACACGGGTTTCTAACCATCTGCGCTTCAAGACAATACATGAAATGATTCATATTAAAAATAACCAGTATATCTAAATTAAATCTAATTGCTACATGCAGGCTGTTTCTATGAAAAATACTGTGCTATTACTATAAAAATTACTTAACATCACAAAATTAGTGTATAGCTATGACAAGTTTGGTAAAACAACAGCTTTTATAAAAGAAATGTACTTTAAACTTAATAAACATTGATTTATAGCTGTTAGAAAATATATAAATGTTGTTACAGTGCTTTATTCATAAAACTGTTGAATTATGTCATGTAAAAAAAAGGTATCAGTTATAAAAATAAAATTATTTTTTACATTGTTAGCTGATATAAATAAAAATATTTTTACACTGTTGGCAGGTAATATTTGGAACCAGCATTATTCTCAAAATTTTCAATTAATTGCATGATTAAAACATCTTTTAATTTGTAAATTTTATTTAACTTTTAGCTGTCAGATTTGTTTTTCTCTGCCAGCATCTGAAACAGTTAGCTTTAACTGTTTTTTCAGGCACATTTGTAATGACTTTTTTTTCTGCTAGCCTTGAGCATGACAGCCAATCTTGGCTCTGCCATTAACTCTACCATCAACCATAACATGATTAGAAGTGAATCATTGAACTCTGGATCTTCATCCCCCGAAAGCCATTCCTTTGATGATTCTGACCTTCTCTCTTCTTCCACTGTAGGTGATGATGTCACTGCTCAGTTGGCTGCTGCGGGTAAGTAATCCTGATAAAAGAAAAAATTTCTAGTATAGAAGATTTTGGTTAATTAGATATTTTTATACAATAATTTACTACAGGGATTCTCAAACTGTGGTAGGTGGAGCTAATGTCGATGGTACGTGACACAATTAATATAAAAAAATCATAAAATTTGTAATAAGCCCTATCTGAGCTTTCCACAATACTAATCTCCTCACTTATAGACTCACACTCTACTTGCATAGGCTCGCCAGTATTTTTTTCCATTAGAATTGACAAAAATGGTACCATATATTCTTCATTTGCATTAATGGGTAAGTGTTAAAAATACAAATATTTGTTACTAGGTTTTTATCTTTTTTTTTTTTAATTAGGTTTGTAATTTTTAAAAATTAAACAAAAAGTGGTACACGAACCTGAAATGTTTGAGAATCACTGATTTAGTATATAACTGTAAACACAATTGTTGATTTGAAAAAACTGGAATTATTTTATAAGCAAGAATTATATAATTCAAACCAGGTAGACTTCTCTCTGAAATACTAAAAGCCTTTTCTTGTTCAGTTGCTTTCAGCTCTCATGCTGTCAACAACCATGTGACTAACCATGCGAGAAGAATATGTTAACTTACCTAAAATTCTCCAGTGTTACACCTGCAATAGGAGAATGTACATAACCCTAATTTTGTGCCCATAAATGCTGAATTCCTTATTGACATTTGAACTATTACCATCACTCACTGTGAATTCTGAAGCCAATGTTAACTATGGTTGCTACAGTTTTAACCATTATTGGACATTTTGCAACTGTTGGAGGTCTTATTCATTTTGTCTACCTCTAGCATGCATGGATATTCCACGGCTGTACTGTCAGCCCTTAATAACGATCAATGAGTTTGGCTGTTTTATCTGCTGGTATGCCTGACAGATTTCATCCACAGCTGTACTGTCAGCCCTTAATAACGATCAATGAGTTTGGCTGTTTTGTCTGCTGGTATGCCTGACAGATTTCATCCACAGCTGTACTGTCAGCCCTTAATAACGATCAATGAGTTTGGCTGTTTTGTCTGCTGGTATGCCTGACAGGTTTCATTTTCATGTAAATGCTTAATGGCAAAACATCTGATCTTTTCTCATTTTGATGATCATAAACTATCTTTAGGCCTTTTGCCTTCATTTTGTGAATAACAGAGATTATCTGTTAACCCTAATTCCAAAAAAAAGTTTCTGCTTATCTGATTTCTCTTCTTCTCATATATTTAATGTTTTATCTCTTGAACTAACTTTTATCATGCCTGAGGGTGATTGTGTCATGTTGGGTAAATCGGTTCTATAATCTATATATTTTCCAACTTTTCCTGCTATTTGGGTCATTGTTGATGCTCTTGTAAATAAGCTGAAGGTCAATAGTTTTTTAGCATGGTTATCTTCCTCTACTTGGGATTGACCGATAGATTTTTTTTTTTTTGGCCTTCAACCTTGAGTTGTTGTAAGTTTTCTGCCCTCTGTGCCACAAACTTTGTCATATGTGTAGTTTCTATTACCACGTATCTGTTATTTTCTGTTGATACTTTAGGCTGTCATGCTTTGTTACAGCATACTAATCCTTATTTACCTTTGCAGGATTTTCACTTGTCTCTCATTCAGGAAAAGCATACCAGCAGGGGTTGATTAGGGTTTTAGCATACTAACTTACTTCTGGTAGTCATTTCTTTCAAGACAGTCAGCTTTTTCACCATTCTGCCTTGCCTCCCTCCCTCATTTACTTCTTGGTAGGCATCAGTTACTTCTAATTATTCCTTTGTACCATACCTATTGGCCAGACATGGACGTAGCAAGTGGGTGCTTCTTAATTCACTCACTGACTCTTTTTTGTCTTGGATGAATCTCCCATCTGGATTGTTGGTAGGCATCAGTTACTTCTAATTATTCCTTTGTACCATACCTATTGACCAGACATGGATGTAGCAAGTGGGTGCTTCTTAATTCACTCACTGACTGTCTTCCGTCTTGGATGAATCTCCCATCTGGATTGTTGGTAGGCATCAGTTACTTCTAATTATTCCTTTGTACCATACCTATTGGCCAGACATGGATGTAGCAAGTGGTTGCTTCTTAATTCCCTCATTGACTCTCTTCTGTCTTGGATGAACCTCCCATCTGGATTGTTGGTAGGCATCAGTTACTTCTAATTATTCCTTTTGTACCATACCTATTGACCAGACATGGATGTAGCAAGTGGATGCTTCTTAATTCACTCACTGACTCTCTTCTGTCTTGGATGAATCTCCCATCTGGATTGTTGGAAGCTGTCTCAGATCATTGGCTCTTTTGTGGAATTCTTGGGTTTGACATATCCTTCAGTCTGATTTTAATACCTTTCCTTGTACTTCTAATCCATTCTGGATCAGGAAGTCTCGAATCTCATTCCAAAAGGAAAGTAGAAATCATTTATCACACTTCCCCAGTTTTTTACTCCCATCTCTTTGTGGTTCAGAAGAAATTGGGTGTCTTGACTCATCTTTTCCTGGAGATACGTCCTTTTGATATTTTTATGGAGATCTCCTTATTACTCAGGGGTGGAGGAAGCAATTTTGGATTGGTCAGGCATCTCAGAATAGCGCCAGTGTTAGGAGGGTTCTGGGGGCATGCCCCTAGGAAAATTTGAAAAATGGGTGCTCTGAGATTGAATTTTGTGCTAATTTTACTATGATTTATTTAAAGTATTAATCATTTACAAGCACTTCTTTATGATTCCCAAAAAACAAGTGTTCACTGGCACTTATACTCACCATAAGTAAGTATATTACACATGTAATATATTATACATTATTATACTGCTTTGTAGGTGCTACTATAAGTCTATTTACCTAGAAACAATTTTTGATGTGCAAGTTAAAGTTTAAAAAGCCCTACAGTTACTGTGACAAAATGTTGGCCCAGCTGTTGCTGCCTTTGGATGATGATAGTGGATATAGAGTATTCTTTTCTTTGTATCCTCATTCACCTGTCATGCCCTTATCTCCTTTTGCCATTGGGGTTAGTTTATTTGTTCACTGCCCTTCCCTGTGTACATTTTCTGTTAAGTCAAGTAGCCTAGTTTTTGGTGGGTTTTTTCCTTTCATTCAACCCTGAAAGCCAGTTATTTTAACATCTTGTTGAATTGCTATTTCATGAAGGTAAACCAATTTTTTGTGACATCAGTCTAGTAATTCTTCACACTGATTGGACAATAGTCAAACCAGTGTCATCTGTGGATTGGAGGCCAAATGTTAATATCACAAGATTATTACAAATTGTTGATTTAAAAAGGGGGAAAAGAGATCTTCAAAAAGTTACAGAAACAAAATGGTAGCAAATGCAATTGCAAAAAAAGTAAACAAACAAGCTCAAGGTTTGAGACATAGTGTTGATTTTATTTCCTCAAGTTACAAATCACTATTTTGATTCCATGTCTAAAAACTTAAATTAACAATTTTTAATAATCTTGTTTCTTTAGTTTTTTATGTCCATCATGGAAATGTGTATAATAACAATACTGTCCTATTTGAAACAGTTTAGTTTAATGAAATATGTAGTTGGTGTATGATGCTTTCTTGGGAACAGTAACAACCTTTAGATTGGCTTCATGTAGATTGGATGACTATTGCTCCTGATATCATTGCCACAATGTTATCATTGATAGTGGTACTGTATGTATGATCACTAGGATGTATGGTGATCAACATACCACATGTTATGTATATGTTTGTAATATATTTATAGCTAGTATATTCATACCCTGTAACTATATAGAGAGTCTGTAAACACAGGATTGGAAGGACTTCTGAACTCTACTGGAATGGTGCATGGACTGTATTTTGTAACCGCATGAGTTTTATACATGCATGCACATGCAATGCATATTGGCTAGTATTTATATTCATAATCATAAAAGCCAAGTGTCAGTCGGTCACACTTGATTTCTCTACATTTCGTGAGTTACACGAGTCCAATTCTACTTTTTCTCCTATAATACTTCCTCTTTTGATTGCCCGTTTCCGTATTAGTTGAATTCAATTGGTAACATAGGCATAACTATCTCCTAAATTTCTGCTATATAAAAACCTATCAAAGATGAAGTTTTTATATATCAAGGATTTATTTAGCACAGGGTGAAGTAAATATTTCGTTTATTTATAAAGAGAAGTTTTTATATCAAGGATTTATTTAGCACAGGGTGAAGTAAATATTCCATTTGTTATAAAGAGAAGTTTTTATATCTAGGATTTATTTAGCACAGGGTGAAGTAAATATTCCGTTTGTTATAAAGAGAAGTTTTTATATC